ATTCTATAAGCCAAACTGGGAAGTCTACAGAGGAGCACACCCAGGTTAGCTTCACTGAAGAGATCTCTTTTCTGGGCCCTACTCTGCACATTTCAGTAGGAATTCAGAGCTCAGTTAAATAAGTAAAAGCAAATAAAGGACTCTATTACAAATAATGAAGGCAGAGAGATTTGACAGGGATTGTGAAGAGGGGATAAGACTGACTTATATGCTGGTGACCTACTTTTAGTATTGTCTACTAAATCTCCCAGGGAAGTGTTCAGCTCTGATTATAAATATTAATTAGATTACAATCAGAGTACTATTTAAAGGATCTGTGCTCCTTATGGAGAGACATTTCTGATAGATACATAGATACATAGATTATAGACAGATAGATGATACATGCAGTGATAGATATGACATACACATGCACAAGTTGCTCAAGTTGGTAATAAACCAGGTGATTTTATGCTATAAAACAGACCCAGCTACAAAATTATAGGTGAATGATATTACCCCATATATAGGCAGGATAAAATCTTTGCAGTTTTAGCAGATATATCATTCTACTATGTATGGATAGGATCAACATTCTTCAGTTTTGCTATGACATCTTCCTTGTTAAGCACATCATCAGCTAAACAAAAATATTTATAGAAACAACACCTCTACACATTTAAAACAAAGATGCAAAGGAGCTGATACCCATTAAATAGTTACTTCTTAAAATTCTTAAGAGTAATTTGAGGCTGTAAGCTGCTTGATATTATTCTGCACTGTGGGGAATGAAGTCTCAGGTTAGGGAGTCTGCCCTAGTCCTTTAACTTGGTGCCAGCAAGAGCTGGGAATGCTGAACACTTTCGATCAGTGCCTGAGAGAAGGTGAAAGGTCTTTTTTCTTTTAACCACAATGCCAGCAGAAGATTAGGAGTGGCCTTACTCACAAGGTCTTGCTGAGCCTACTTTTGCTGTAAGTCTCATACCAGAAAACATTCTAAGGGTGGAATGTGTAAAGCATACACCACGACACTGTTTTTTGGGGAATGGCACATTGTTTTAAAACCTATCATATTAGTCCAATAATGTTCCTATTAAATTAGCCACTAGGTTTGCCTTTTGTTTTTTGGTGTTTTTTTTTTGTTTGTTTTTAAGTGATAAATGAGAGGCTCCCTTTCCTTCTCTGTAAACACAAGTCAACTGGGGAAGAAACCCAATTTCTTAAAGTTCTCCATTGTTTAATGCCCATTCTTAGGTTCCTTAGTGTAAATAGAAAAAAAAAAGGCAAATCTAGTTCATACATAAGGCAGTGAGAAAAGAAAGCATATGTAAGGTAGTCTAGTTCTAAAAAAATATATCACAAACACAATATAACCACTTTCACAATTTTATTTTTCAATATATCAGCCTTGGAGAAACACCCTAAGTTTAGGTTGTTGCCTGCAGGTGCTATTAATGAAAGAAATAAGAAGTGGTTAGAGATGAACAAGAAAGATTGAAGCAAGAAGGGAGTGCTTCTAAGACTGAGGACTCAGTGAAATAGAAAATCACTGCTCTGGAGAGTTTTTCTTTACTTTTTTCTCAGTTCTCCCTATGTGCCTTCTCCATCTCATTGATAACCTCAATCACCCCTGTCCCAATTCCCCATCCTGGACCAAGTTCTTGCAACTAATTCCTCACATCAAGATGTGTAATTAATATACCAGGCTAACAGCAATGGGTTAAACATCTCACACTTTTTTTTTCCTTAATCATAGAAGAATCTTAAAAGGAAGCAAAAAATATTCTCAAGACCCAAAGGTAAAAAGACTCTTATTTTTTAACATTTTGGATAAGGAATGTCCTGAGATCAGACCACATAAAGCAGTAATGACAGGGTTAACACAATCTATCAGAAGCCTAATAACAGTTCCGTAATTTGAGTATGTTTTGAAAATTAGCATATCAGCATTGAAAATGTCTCTATTTTAAACTAACATTTAAAAGGCAAAAAAAAGCTTTCTATTTTCGAGTTATCGTCAGTATCAAATACTAATTTCACTGTCTGTGACTCACAGCAAAAGAAGTGTTCCTTTTCTATAGAGTATATTGATGATAATTTGACAGTAAACTTTTTTATTGACCAAGTTCAGGGAAGATATTGCATTTGTAAGCTACTCTTCTCAGCCAGCTCTATGCTGAACTTTGTAAGGGTTTTGTAATTAAAAACATAACAAAAAAAACAAAACAAAAAACTACTCTTCTTGACTGAGATGCAAGCCTTCCATAATTACATGTCACAGTGCAATTCTTACCCAATGAGCCTGTGGTTTTCCAAATTTAGTACAAAGCATGTAGTTTCATCAGTGAGTTGAGATTTAGTCTTGTTCTCCTTTGATTCCATAAATGGCTGTTCCAATTTTAAAATGGGCCACTTAATTTACAAGTATTTTCTTTATTTTGTTTAAGAGTGAGAAATAACATACAAATATTTGACATGTTGAGAAGAGAAATTCAGCAACTTTCTTCCTGACATGAAATATATCATTCAGAAGGCCCATTTCCTATGCCTAGACTTGCTAGATGAGGTTATGCTAAAAACAAACTCTGAGATGTGTCTGCCTATGAATTTACAAGTGTTTACAAATCCCGAGTGATGTCTCTGGGAATGGAGGACCAAAGGACCACAAATACTTATTTGTCCCTGCAATAGAGGGGCCGTATTTCACAATATTCCAATGCAACCTCCAAATTAGACTTCATTGTATTGAAAATAGCATCCTCCCTCCGAGCGGCCCACTGAAATGACCCGGCTCTGCAGTGCCCGCGTTCAGCCCCTCGCAGCGCTGCGCTGGGAAGGACCTGCAGAGCCTCGAGGCTGCGGGGATGCGGCACATTTTTGGTCCAGAAATCGAAAGAAAGCGGAAGTGACGTCACGGTTAAAACAAGCCGGTGGCTTGAGGGCCTGCAGTGAATCTGCCGCTGCAAATGGAAAGGCCCAACTTGCTTGCTGCTGGCTGTCGATGGTGGTCGTGAGGCCCCGCTCTCCCACCGGGTGGGCTTCGGGCCCGTCCCCAGAACCCACCCGATGCAGGTGAGCCAGAGCGTCCCCCGACGGTACCTGAGCTGAGACTCTTCGGGACTCCTCGGAACTCCTCGGGACTCTTCGGGACTCCTCGGGACTCCTCCGGACTCTTCGGGACTCTTCGGGACTCCTCGGGACTCTTCAGGACTCTTCGGGACACATAGGGCAGAGCTGGAGCCGAACAGATAGATGTCCCTCCCCACAACAGTCTCGCCTCTAGCGGGCTCCTGTCCTGGGATGGCGGGACACCTGTTGCCTTTTATTTAATATCCAAATTTCAAGAATAGGCTGGATACTACTCTTAAAAAAACAAGAAGAAATTATGAGAAAAAATGTTTTAATTTTCGAAACGACAGTTGAAATCATGGCTACATCAGCAAATCTGGATCCTGGAGCCCAGCTGAGAGGGGGCAGCGCCCCAGCAGGTGCCCGTCTCAGCGGCCCGCCAGACATTAAACTAGAACATCAGCCAGGCTCGCATGCAGAAGCAGCGTCCGCGCACGGTGTTGCCATGGGGATGAGATTCACATCGCCTAACCGATTTGATGTGAATGCGTGCCCCGATTTGTGAGTCCTTAAATGAAGATACTAAAAATATTCAAGATCAGGTTAACTCTGACCTGGAGGTGGCATCGTCCTATTTAAAGGATGAAAGTTATGATATAAATATCTGCATTTGTTTTGTGTTTATTTGGTATGGGGTTTTTTCCTTTACTTTTTGATCATGAGATTTTGAGTTTGGCAAGAAAGTTGGAAGTCATCTTTTATTAAGATTTTCTAGAGTCTCACAGAAACCCAAATGAAATGACTTCGTGTTACATAATGCCCACAAATACATGATGACTGTTTAAAAATTTCTTGCTTAACCTTTATTTAGAAATTCTCAAATAAAGTTCCTTCTTGTACTTTTTTAAATCATAGGAGAAAAATATTATTGGTGCTTTTTACAAATGAATTAGCTTAACATTTCCTATCCTATGAGTATTTCATTAACATTAGCTTCCCATGCTTTAACTGAGCGGACTCCGTCGTCATATTGTAGATTTACTTTTATAACAATCTATTGAATAAAAATACTAATTCCAGAATAAAATTGCTCAAGATTAATTTTTTTCTGGAACATTCACTATGGTAGTACAGACTTTTTATGGCAAAAAATAAGATCACTTGAGAAACAGTTGAAGATATACCTCATGTATTTCTTTTTTAATGTAAACATTGATATAGAATTTTGAGACGCTTTGTCATTCTTAAAAAAAGGAAAAAAGAAAATAGTATCCTCTACTTGAAGATTATTAGCACAAATTCAATGTTGAATCCATACACTTCATTACTTGGTAGAAGAATCTCAGATGGATAAGTTGAATGCTTTTAACAAGTTGAAAAACACAAATCATCAAAGACAACTTTTGACTAGTTGTGCTCAATATTTTTCCTCCATAATTAAAAGTATCTCAGCCACTTCCCCTTTTAAAATCCACCGCTGTCTTTAGTAATCATAAAAATTATTCTGGCTGTTTAATTCTTCACTTCTGCTTGTAGTGGCATATTGTTACATTTGGTAAGGCCATTGACTTTGGTTGTAAATCCTCACTAGTTACTTTTTATTCGTATAAAATTAATTAGGAAAGACTTCTAAAGCTAGATTTTTGCCTTAGGAAGACGGGGAGTGGGGTGGGGAAGGACACTTCATTTAGAGTCGTTTTCTGCTTCTAATGCTTGTCGACTGTTGTAAGGGTTGTCGATGCCAGGCGATTCCGCCAGGAAAACGGAAAATCTAATACTCCTATTCGAAACGCGCAGCTAAAACCGGGCGCTGAAAACTACTGTAGCGGCAGGGCGGGGAAACCTACTGCTCTTCTTGCCTATGATATACGGTACAGGGGTTGGCCCTGGTTTGGTCCACCTGCCAGCGGAGTTTAAAGTTTCCGAGGCTTGCGAGAACACAATGACTTGGATCAAACAGCCTAAATAGCAAGAAGGGTATTTCTGCTGCATCGAGGAAGCCATTAAACTCCTGCGAACTATTTCCTTTTATGTGTCCCTGCACACGACTGCCCTCCCCTATCACTGACCAGAGATTACTTCTGAGGATACTTCGAAAGCTTGGCGATTTATGGCTGGAAAGTGAAACGACGCTGGAGTGTGGCCACATCATTATTTTGGGTTGCGCGGTACCAGATGGGCAGTCGGTGAATGGCGCAGGGATGTGACGGACAGTTTTATAATGTGATTTTCCCCCATAAAGCTAAAACAGGCTTCATTCCCCTCTATTTTCTTTCGGCCTATAGTACTTGTATTTCTCCCCTCTCTGCAATATCAATTAACTCAACTTTGCCGAGGAGCGGCCAAAAAGGAAGGCGATCAATTGGTCTCTATAACCTCGGTAAGTCAGAGGAGCTGCTGTGACGGGCGCTGCGGGGACCCGCGGTGCCCTGAGCGGACTGCGGGGCTGAGACCGCGCAGGCGGTTATGGAGTCATCCGCGGGGGCTAGAGACCTGGCGGCAGGCGGGGTCCCCTGATCTCAGGAGGGGTTCCCTGATCTCGCGACTGACTTGGAGGCCGCTGCTACCTCTCATCCGCAGCATTTTACTACCATTATCATCGTTCTTGAAAAGTCATGGAAGACGAGACACTGCCAGACCTCAGAGACATCGAGCTGAAGCTGGGGCGCAAAGTACCGGAGAGCCTAGTGCGCTCGCTCCGTGGGGAGGAGCCGGTTCCCCTGGAAAGGGACAGGGACCCCTGCGGGGGGAGCAGCGGCGGAGGCGGAGGCGGCAGCTGCAGTAGCCGAAGCAGCTTCCCTCCCTCGTTGTCATCCTCCTCTTCGTCTTCCCCAACCTCTGGCTCCCCAGGAAGACGCAGCCACTCCAGCACCCTGGAGAGGCTGGAAACCAAGCTTCACCTCCTCAGGCAAGAGATGGTGAGTGCGGTGCGCCAGCTGTGGGAATGGGGGCCGGGCCAAAAAATGCGAAGATCGGCGGATGGGGCCTGGGAGAAGGGTGGCCAGGCGCTGTAGGACTGAGTGCCGGGTGCGTGGGAAATGGGCAGAGCAGGGCACGGGGTGCAGGTCTGGAGGCAGCCGTTGCAAGGCTCGTTTAACCTGGACTTTGCTCCGTTCACGGTTCGATAAGATAGCAGAGCCTACTCTGTCTGTTCTGTGTACTTTCTAATGGCGCGGACTCGGTATCCCGGGCTCTGAGCATTTAGAGGACAGCGGCAGCCTCCGGGGCACCAGTCCCCCCGAGGGTCTGCAGTTACTACACAGGCATCTGGGGCCTCTTATGAGCCGTTCACACTTTCAGTTCAAAAGGTGGCTCGGGCCATTGCACTTAGTACAAAAATGCTTCCCCGTTTGCCGAGAGGTGGCGCGGCGGGGTCCCTGCAGCCTGCTTGCCCTGCTCCCTCCTCACCCACCTCCACGGTCTCCACCCCTTTGGTGCAGCTGCTGTTCCAAGGCCACTGTTGAGCTGATTCTCCACAGCTGGTTCTGAAAACAATGGCCCACTCGTCCTTGATGTTCTTATATGTAGCTTGTTACACTGTTTTGATTCAAGACAGCAAGTGATCCCCAGGCCCAGGGATTTGCTAATGACCACTACCCCCCCCCCCAATCTGCAGTTGTTTTCTGTGCTGTTTGCAAATGTTAGCCTTAGAATGGGAAAGTGGGACTAGTACAGTGTCAGAGAATACTCCTTATCCTGGGTGTGCTTAGATGTAGCCACTAAATTCTACATCTCACTTGGCATAAACTCTTGTGAAGACAGTTCTCTGCGGGCCTCAGTTTATTTGTACAATGAATTGGTTAGAGGAAATGAGTTCTTCCCAAATCTTTTGACGAAAATGACGACAAATGAAAAGCATTTTCTACCAGGTCGAGGAGGGGGAAAGTTGAAACAGGGGGCTGAGAAGGGTGGTGAGAAGGATTTTCTACATAAATGATGCTGTTTGTTGGAGCTTTGCATTAGAAAGTAACCAGAGGTGTTTCCCTCCTCTCTTTCTGCAGTTGGAACACTCACTCCAAAGGGGGGAATAAATCCCACAGCATAAAATAAACTTCGCAAACATCAGGGCCAAAAGCCAGTCTTCAAGATATATCCCATACTCAGAATTGTCACCAAACTATCCAAACAAAGGCTCTAGGAATCACTCTAAAAACCTCTCTTAAGATCTTTAAAGCTAATCTATAGTTTTTATGCCTCAAATATTCATTTTCTCCCTACTTGGAATGCCCAAATATTTAAAAAATATATAACTATAGCCCTGGCCAGGTAGCTCAGTTGGTTGGAACATTGTCCTGTACACCAAAAGGTTGCAAGTTCCAGTCCCGATCAGGGCATGTACCTGGTCAAGGCGTGTATGGGAGGCAACCCATCAAATGCTTCCCCCTCTCTCTCTCTCTTCGTCTCCCTCAAAAATCAATAAAAACATATCCTTGGGTAAGGATTAAAATATATTTGTGTGTGTGTGTGTGTGTGCGCTCGCGCGCACACATGCGTATTTGTATATGTTCATATATCGTGTAATGCAAATGATTGTATACTGTATGTTTCACTATCCAGATACACAGGTCATACATATTAGTTATTCAGCAAATTAACTGGCTGCTGAAAATACAAAATGAAAAAGTCAAGGAGCCTCTCTATTTAGGGCTCTCAAATGTCTTGCACTCATTTGCCATTTATGATTTGTAGTATATCAAGCCAAGTGTGTTCTAGAACTCTGTAGAGTAATAAAACCAATCTGGTTATTCTCAGCTAAAGACACTACTGAGGAGGAAACTTTCCTCCTACTCTTCTAGGTTCTTTGGCTGGTCTAACAAGTAAATTGACATAAGACAGATCAACAGGAGAAAAACAAATTTAATTTCATACGTACGGTAGCCCTATTAAAATGTGAGACACAAGGTCAAGTTAGGCAGTTGAAGCTTATTTGCCTTCCTGAGAAAAGTAATGGGATGGGGCCCTGGCTTCAAAGGGGAGAAAGGTAATTCACAAGACAAAGAAGAGCAGATGTTTGGAAATTAGATGTTTGCCTGCCTTATAAATAGATCATTCCGATAAAAGTTATCTCTGGTAATAGCTCTCTCTCTCTCTCTCTCTGAATCAGGCCCCCTATCTAAATTCTTTTGGGTAGTTAAGGGAGAGGTAAAAATTTCTCTTGAGCCTTTTGGGTCTTGATTGTCTCTGGCTCAAAATAATCCAAATTCCAGAGTGGCATATATAGGGGTCATGTATTCTGTCTCTCTTCAGCACTTTCTAGATATATCTATTTTTCTTAATGAAAATGTCATAGAGTTAATAAAAACCTATTTCCCAAAACCAGATCTTGCTATGTGTAATTATTATGGTATATTAATAAATACATTTTAAAAAGCAAATAGAAACAGTAACAGCAGAGGCACACTGCTAAATTGACTATTCATTATATTTTCTATGTGAAACATCAGTATCTATGCACTAAGGAGAATTCATGCCAGAACAAATGTTCTGTGTTCAACTTTGTACTCTAATAAAGGTCTCCATTTAGCAAATGATAACACTGGCTATGAGAGGTTAGAGAAAAGGGACTGAAAACTGGTATATTCCCTGGGCCAGTGAGGGTTTTTACCCCATTTTACAATAAATCTGCGGGTACTGAAAACCCAGCTTCAATATAGTTGCAAAGCAACAGATTTGTTTTCATGTAGACTTGGCAGTTTTGTTACAAACACCGAACAAATGCAGTCCTTCCTTTCTCCCCCTGGCATCTCCATGCAGAGAAGTTCAGCTATGACCTCTTAATCATGATGCTTATGTCCTCATGTACCCTCCACCACGGGCACTGAGTTAACCTCCTTGTTACTGCTCATGACCCCATATTTCATGCTCATTAGTTTGCACTGTTCACAGATTTTTCTTCTGGATAGTCTAGGATGATCAGGCTTTGGTCTTGTCCTCAGAACTCCTTCCTAAGAAACATCTTAGCCATGCACCTGCCTTTCTAGAGACTTCCAGGAATGGCCTTCCTCCTTTTCCTATCAGAATGGATGTGTATACCATTGACACAATACAGCATAGACTTGCAGGGAAGTAGTCTCAGTGCTTAAGGTTCTTTACATACACATGACTTTATCATCCTGTCTCTCATCTCCTTTTATGCTTTTATAAATAATTTCCTTAACTCTTATCGGTTAATGTTATAATCCATGCTCTTAGAGGTCTGTGAAATGCAACTGTAATGGAAGTTGAAAGAGATTGAAGAAGGGGAGAAACTGTTCCTGTGGTCAAATTTCTTAATGTTGAAACTCTCATAAATACCATAAGTAGCACCATACATAATAAAGGATGTAGGGAGGAAAACAGGAAAACTGGAAAAGAAAATTTTCAGGAATATATTTGGTATGACAGGCCAATTCAAGGTAACCATCAGGAGGTTTGGGGGTGGGAACAAATTTTCCCAATTTGTATTTTTATTTTGAATTTAGAGATAAGGAAACTTGATAATACAATAAGCAAATGAGGAGATACACATAGGAAATTTATAATGAAGTTGGAAATAGATTTCAGATCTCTTGTACAAAGTCTGCCCATTAATATCTGTTCACTACTTTTCAGTTCACAGAGTGTTTTAATATCTGTCATCATTTGAGCCTAAGGTTCATACTAGGAAAAAGGAATTATTTTCTTGCACATTTTACAAATGTGATCATTGTGGCTTAGAGAAGATTGAGAAAGCCGGCCAAGGTCACAGCTAATTAGCAGGCAGCATCACAACTTGAACTTTTATCATCTGAGTCCATGTACTATGCTTTTTTGCCCATTCTAGTCTGCATCCCAGTAATTTCCCTTCAAAGTAAAGTATGGCTTTTATAAATCTGTGATATCTCCTCACCCCTAAAGTACTAAGGGACCAACAAAAAGAATCACCCAGGGTGCATATCAGGGTTGTTTCAGATAGGGGCTCATTCAGTACTCAACAAATATTTATTGAGTGCCTGCAATGTACCAGGCCTGCCTCAGGACCTTGGGAATACAGAACAAAATGCCTACTTTAAAATGCCCATCATCCAAGGTTCTGTCCTGTTGGAGGTTTTCATCCCACTGTCTGTTCAAAGACTCCTGTTGCAAAATCTTCTTAATAGCAGGACTTTAAGCATTACTTATCAAATAGTATTACTCTTAAGTTTTAGAATACCTCATACTCTCCAAAATATTTCCCCAATAACTATAATCTCTGCCAAAACCTGCATTTTACTTCTTAGTGATGAACTTTATATTGCACTCTTACAATATGTTCAAAGGATTTTAGCGCTACCTGAATATGTCCCTATAACATCTCTAGTTTGAGAGTGGAGATTATCTTTATCATCTTACTCTGGAAGAAATTTGAAATATGTGAGGTTATAAAAGCAATTACTAAAGAACTGGAACCTGGAATTAGAAAGAGTCTAATGCACCTCCCACATTTGCCTTCCTACATAATTACTATTTATAAAATTAAAGTATAGTTTGTAATGAAGTACACATTACCTGTTGATGCCATATTCTGGATTTTAGTCAATTATTTTTTATGTTGGGATGGTTAATGCAGCACCATTACAAAAAATAATTTGAAAATATTGTGTCCTGATTTCCATATTTTTGGCAATTATCAGCATAGTAGCTATGTAATAGTGAGGTATAAACAACCTCAAGCTGGGTACTTATCTTTTCCTACTATTGAAGCATTCAAATACCTCACCCAACTCATCAGCTCTTGCTTTAATTACATTTTCTAGGCAATACCCAGTACTAGACATAAATACACACACATACATGCAGACACATCAAGTGACACTGGAACATAAATCAAAATGTTATCGATACATTCTCTTACTGATCTTTTTCATGTGTTTACTTATTTTGTAATAAAAAGAAAAATTATGTTATATACCCTCAAAAT